CACCACACTAGCATACATACACGAAAATTGGCCAAATTGGTGTCACATTTACACAGACGGATCTTCAAATCCGACCTCTTAACACACAGGTTTCGGGGTCCATACCATACAACCAACTAAAACCACACAATCCTTCCGACTCCCAAACAACCAATCAATATTCACGGCAGAACTAAGCCTCAGCCCTCCATAATCAAGAATCCAAAAACCACAAAAAGTTCTAAGACTTACCGACTCCCTAAGTGGACTGCAAGCCATCCAAAACAAAAATACCAAAAACCGACCTAAATTAATAAATCAAATACTTAAAAGCTCCAACGACCTAACTTAGGCAGGCAAACATATAACATTCTTTTGGATCCCCGCCCATGTTGGAATATACGGTAATGAAAACGCCGATAAAGCAGCTAAACTATCCTTCAAAATTCCAGAAATAAGCTTAAACTTACCCATCTCAAAATCAGAAATTAATAGTGTAAACAAGCAAAAAATCACCAAAAAATGGCATAACCTATATCTAAACTCAAATAGCCAAATCAAAAAAGTACTCAGGAAACCACTAACCAAACCAAAAATTCTCCATCCATCAAAAAAAATCAACAGAGTAATCACTAAACTCCAAACAGAACACACCAACCTAAATAACCACCTAAAGATTTTTTTAAAAAACACTACAGTTAACTGCCCACACTGCAAACAACTAGAAACCCCAGAACACGCACTCATCCACTGCACACACTACCTAACACATCGAACCGCATTACAAACCACCCTCAATCTAAACAAGGCTCTCACTCTAGAAGCAATACTAAACCCACAAAATACACTAGAAAACTTCAAGGCCTTAGGCGTATTCTTAATCAAAACGGAACTAATAAAATGTATCTAAAAACACAATAATCTACCAAATCAAAATCACATAAACAAACAAACATCCACCATACCCAGCTCCCTTAGTTCTCCTCCCCAACCACATCGGCATCTATTCCAAATCTCAAAATTCCCAAATTATATATAAGCAATCCCTAAAGCCCCCTCTTGGGTTGCACACACCACTTTCGCCCCTTTCGGAAACACATTAAATTGCTGGGCTGGGCCCGTGTGCGAAATACGCATCAGTCGGAAAGCTCACGTTAAATCTCCAAAGTAAGTAAGTGCCCAGGACATCACACCCCTACACGCTAAGGTCGGCGAGAAACCTTCTCATCAAAGAAAAGACACAGTCAAGACACTGACTTTTTGGTATGGATGCTCGGTATGTAGCTATAATTATCAGTTTACTACATTGCCAAAAGCATGGAAACATGCTGCAGTTATCCTGCTGCTAAAGCAATGGAAAAACGAAGCCCTACCAAACTCTTATCGACCGATCTCACCGACCTCAAACATGTGTAAAGCCATGGTTATGATAAGGCTCAGGCACCACCTTGAAACTGGCAACCACATAAAACCTGACCAAAGTGGCTTCAGGAAGGGACACTCGTGTCTAGATCATATTCTAAGACTGGAAAATGAAATTAAAAAAGCTCAATTAAACAGACAATACCTAGCCGCAGTATTTCTGGACTTCAGCAAAGCCTTCGACATAGTATGGCATGACGGACTCCTCTCAAAACTAGCACAAAATGGAGTAGAAGGGAACATGGCAAACTTCATAGACAGCTTCCTGCAATACAGGTTGCTATCAGTTAAAGTAGGGAACTGTCGTTCTGATCCTATGGCACTGGACAATGGCACGCCACAAGGCAGCATTATAAGCCCAACCCTGTTTAATATCATGATCAATGATCTTTTTGACCATGTCAACTCTCCTACCCAAACCTCTAAATTCGCTGATGACGGAGCAATATGGGTAAAGCACAGAGATATTACACAAATCAGAAAAAAACTCCAGTCAGCCCTTGACGGAGTAGATCAATGGTGCAATAAATGGGGATTCACCCTTTCATGTAAAAAAAACTGTTAGAGTTCTATTCAAACGCCGGAGGAAAGATGCTATGATACCCCGTCTCTCCTTAAAAGGCAAACCTATCAAATTCGAAAAATCTGCAATATTTCTTGGGGTAATCCTTGATCAACACCTCACTTGGCACAAACATATAGAATATGTGGGAAACAGATGTCAAAAAGACCTGAACGTATTACGGGCAATTTCAGGCACATCTTGGGGCACATCGAGGGACACTCAACTGGACCTCTACAAATCTCTTATCAGATCAAAAATTAACTATGGTTGTGAGGCCTTTCATTCAGCATCAAATACTGTCTTGAGGCGCCTAGACAGAATACAATACAAAGCCCCAATGCTGGCCACAGGCGCAGCAACAGGCACCTCACTAGAAGCACTACAAGTAGAAACGGGAGAACTCCCATTGAAACTAAGAAGAGAGCAGGCAATATTATCGTTCTGGGGACGAACATCAAACCCATCAACAAAAACAATCGAGATGAAGCCCTAGCTCGAAAAAATCCCTCACAAAAGCCATATGGGATATTAGTACCTGAACTCATTCGAAGTCACAATTGTGTTGACATTCGATCAGCCTCCAGAAAGTCACTACAAAGGGTTACACCCTCCCTTAACTTTAAAAACTCCCAAAGTTGACACTGCTTTAACATCAGAAGTCACTAAAAAAGAAAACCCAACCCTACTACGATCAGTAGCTATCACTAAAATTCAAACTACCTTGGACAGCTGGGCCCATATATACACTGATGGATCGAAGAATCCTATCAACAACAGTGCTGGTTACGGGATCCATATCCACAGCTCCAAACCTCAAGCACATTCAGTTCGCTTGCCTGATGGTCAGTCAGTATTCACGGCTGAATTGGAGGCAATTCATTATGCACTCAAACTCATACCAGAACTTCCGGAAGCAAGGCAGTCGTCCTATCAGACTCGCTAAGTAACTCAAACTCCAGGCAAAACACAGTCAACAATATTCTATAAGAATATACAAAACTATCGGACCAAGGGCAACAGGTGGAGCTGTGTTGGATCCCCTCTCACATAGATATTCATGGAAATGAAAAAGTAGACTCACTGGCGAAGCTAGCTCTAGACAAAGTGGAGATACAGCCTATTCCCTTTAGTAAACTAGAGATAAAAAGCAAAATCAAAGCCTCCATAGCAGAAAGATGGCAAGCCCAATGGGACGCAAGTAAGATCGGCAGATGGCTATACAAAATTCAACCCAAGGTCCAACAAAAGCCAAACTCACACTCAAATGAAAGGAAAGTTGAAATTGACATCTCACGCCTCAGACTTGGTCACAAAAAGCACTATGACAAGGTTTGTTCATCTTGCAATCAGGCTGAAACCATTGATCACATGTTACTAGAATGTCAAGACCATGCCCCATCCCGGGCTAGGTTAAAACAAGAATTACAGTTATATCCGCTATCTGTCATAGATCTCCTAAAGCCAAGAGATGCAATATCGAAGGCCAAACTAACTCTATTTCTGAGCGATGGACAGCTACTCGAATGTATATAAACAGAGCAGCCAAGGATAAAAATGAAATCATATCAATAAAAGAAAATAGAAATCATATCAATACAAAAACAGAAATTATGTGAACACCAAACTCACACTAGATATGTGTACCCTACTCACACACAGGAGTCCCAAAGAGGGACAGGTCAGCCGAAATTGCTTAGGCAGAGGGACCTCTTTTGGACCTCATTTTGATCAAACTCAATTAAATGAGTAAAACTATACTTTTCTGGACAATTGAGATCTGCCTAGATATGCACGTTTCATTTTTTTATTCAGCTTATTTATAATCCATTTTTAGTATTAACCGTTGGCCCGGCCCAGCCAGACTTTTCTTGGCCCGACTTTTAGGCAATCCCGTTTGGAGGCACCAGAACACGGCCTACACCCCCAGGAACATTAGACCGACTGTTACATACGGCGGGGGCTCAATAATGGTTTGGGGGTGTATCTCTCATGATTGCAGGTTACATTTGGTCACTATAAGGGTCAACTTAACAGGGGCTCAGTACATCTGGGATGTTTTGATGCCAATCGTCGTTCTTCATTTTGACAACAACCCTCTTGCTACTCAACCTCAGTACATGGATAACAATGCTAGGCCTCATTGTTCGCATGCAGTCATGGATTACATGAGGGCCAATGCAATAACGACTCTACCCCGGCCAGCAATGAGCCCAGATTTGAACCCCCTTGAACATGTTTGGGATATTCTGGGGCGGCGCATACAGGCACAAGATCCTCCTGTACAAGATTTATGCCAATTGGAAGCAATATTGCATCAGGAGTGGTTGTTGTTGACCCATCAACAAATCCAACGTCTGACTGAGACATAGGGTGAAATGCGTCATCCTGGCACGTAGCGGTTATACCCACTATTGATCTGTTTCACGTGTCATGTCAAGTAGAGACTTTAAGGAACATCAAACATCAAACATAACTCGTTTACTTAATCCTGCAGCTAAGGTAAAAAACAGTACCTGTGTTACCATGATGTTTTTGTCAGTAAATTTCAATCACAACTCACCAATATCTTCTTAATTTGTTGTCAAATGTTTGTTCTATCCGATGACATTGGTATCACCCAGTTCTTGGCTCAGTCTCCCCATGCCATGATTTTTGCCATTTGTAATGGTTCAGAAATAGGGGTGTGCTTAACTTTTTTCTTTGTGTATGTAAGCTGATGAAGTGAATGTAATAGAATAGAATAGGGCTACTGGATCATTAGAATATCTTCTAAAACATTTACTGACACATCAAGTTATGATCGTTTTTCTGAAATTGTTGAGTCACCCTGAGAATTCTGGTGCAGAATTGATCCACATTTATATAACTGCATGTGTATCAAGGGAAGACCATGGTATGTATGGATGGTTACAATGTGTGACCAGCTGATTGGACCTCGTGTTCTCCCAACTGAATAAGTCTGGATCATTTGCTCAGTGAGTAGATCATTGCTGAGGTCAACTCTGCAGGTCAATGAAAAGAAAAATAATATTGCTCAACAGGATAAGGTTTATTAAGAACAAATACTCCTAAGCAATATACAGACAAAAAGCAAAAAACAAAAGATCAAATCAAAATTACATCTAATCAATAAGGGTTGACATGTGTTATAGATTTGACATTACCCTGGACTACATATATATCTATTTTCCCTTCACAACAAGTTCAAAGGATTCATATGATATTTCACATGTATGCATATTGTACACTCAAATAAGTAGGAGTTCAAAAAGCTGTACTAAAGGGTTACAGGTCTGAAACTAAACTGGGCTAGCATGGATATAGTCAACCCCTAATGAAACAGCAAATACCTGTGTATGAGATGTGAGTAACTAACATATTCAAGCATGATATAAATTAAACACTTGACAACCCTCCTAAAATCATGAATATTTACTAAAATATTTATGGAATGTACTCGAAAGGCCTACTAAAGAAATTTCACATATGGATTAAGTATCAATGAATATGTAAATAAAACCACTGTACTGTAAAAATGATGAACAGGACATCATTCTGCATGACCTTTTCACACAAATTTCACTGTCTGACTTAAAAAGATTTGTTTGTATGTAGGGCTGGGACGGGTAACTCGGGTACTCGGGTCGGGTGGGTCCTAAGTAGGACCCGGGTACCCACAGTACTACCCGGTCCCCTGGTTAATCACGTGATATTGTTTAATGACAAAAACTTACTATAACTCAGTGGTTACACTACAAGTCGCTAATGTTCCCATTTGTTTATGACGATGCACACATTCCTTTTGACTTGTAAATGTTTGAGGAAAGATAAAGCTTCAGTCAGCTTCAGTGTACGCATGATTTGATGGTTTCATAAGAGACCATTTATCTATTATATGGTATCTGGTTTCATACATGTATCTAAACAGTTTTAGCCAGGGCTACAGTTAAACTATTCCCAATTAGACATGTGTTACCAACTCTTGAGACCTACAGTGGGTAGGGCTGGGTAATAGGGGGTTGGGTACCGGGGTAGTAAATTTGGACTCAACTCAGCCCTATTTGTATGTTTATCAGGGATAGGTGGCTGTTGACCTGGATTACCCACAAGTTGCAATTAAGTTACAAGATGATCCAGCATTATCCAGCTCTCCACGTACACTGACCTAGTTATCAAATGCTTCATCTCAGATCAGAAACAGCAGTTCACATAAAATATTTCTTGTATAATAAGAAAAGCATTTTATGCAGATACAAAAAGACAGGGGAGCACTTCCCAATTACTAATTCAGTCATGTTCTTACATGATTTTGTGTGAGTGGATGAGTGAGGGAGCGAGTATGGAATTACGCCAGTTTTAGCTGTATTCCAGCAATATCATTGCGGGTGAGACCAAAAATGGGCTTCACACATTGTACCCATGTGGGAAATAAAACCCGGGTCTTCGGCGTGATGAGCGAACACTTTAACCGTTAGACTACCCCACCGCCCCTACATGATTTTGAACAACTATACAAATGACCTAGTTGACACATGTTGTTGAGCTGGTACTGATGTACAGGGCTGTATTAATGAGGATGTGGACATACATATTTATGAGAACTGGGTTTTCTCATATTCAAAGAAGATAATACTTGTGTGAAAAATCTACATTATTATGGTTTGTGTTGTTATTAATATTGTGGAAATTCCATCTGTAAAATTTCTTGAGTAGGCTTGTTATGACAGAAATAGATAAAATATCATTTTCAAGTTCTTTTCCAAGAAATATGTACCTAAGTCAGTGATGACTTACAACAAGAATTTTTGTTAACATCAAATTGACAAAATTTAAGAATTTTCTGTGCCTATCAAATGACGGAATAAAAAAGGCATCCTTAACATGATTAACAGTGTCCTTTAGCTGCAAAAATCAATGTGTTTTAGGAGAGATGTCTTAATTCTTTTATGGAAAGTATGTTATACATGTACTTTAAACAACCATTTACTAAATCATAATACAATTTCAGATAGGAAAGTAGGATGTACATCTCAGCCAACCGAAAATTTCACACGAGGAACAAATAATAAAATCCATAACCCATGATAGCTTGTTTACAGCAAGGGGGTAACAACTAGTATTAATGGAATGTGTCTCCGTCACCGTGTTCCAAAAAAAATTAGCCATCATCTGTTTAACTTTGGTTTATGCCTCTGTGTTTTGTAGATAGTTATGATGAAACATTTTTGTAGTGAGTGAGTATGGTTTTACGCCGCTTTTAGCAATATTCCAGCAATATCACGGCAGCGGATACCAGAAATGGGCTTCACACATTGTACCCATGTCGGGATTCAAACCTGGATCTTCGGCGTGACGAGAGAACGCTTTAACCACTAGGTTAACTGACCACCCAAACATTTTTGTAACTCACTTTGGTAGGTTGATATATATACACATACTGCTGTACTGACAAAAACTATCATCTTTGAATTAATTACTAGTATACAGATGACCTCACTGTCAAAATTACAACATAAAAATGCATGACCAGTTAACTTACCATTGAAGACGTGGAACTTACTCGGCAATCAACTGCTGTTGATTATTTATTTTTATGGTCAGAGGTTCTTCAGAATATCTATTCATCATCTTTTATGTTGTTATGACAAAAAGTGATGTTCTATTGTAGACAATTGATAGGTGAAAAAGTAATCATAGGAAAATCTACAAACCATATAACCATAAAACACATCTAAGTCAAGCATGGAATATAAGATTACAGCAAACAACACCATTAACCTCATTAAAACCTAATGAAGAGACCTGAGAAACAGGTGCTTAGTATTTTCCATTGTCATTTTCTAAACAATATGCTGGTAAGTCAATAAGGTAAATAAAATAGTATCCTTGCTATTTTTTATACATATTAGCACAATGCAAAATACTATGTTTCCCAGGTCTTAAAGTCATGAACAACAATTATGTGGTAAACAAGTCTTGGTTATGATGCAATTATGATAAACAAGGTACAATTATTCCAGGTACAGTTTACAATGTAATAAGGTGAAAGGTTTTCAATATAAGTAATACACACTTATTAGAACTAAATGTAGACTTCACATTTGAAAAGTACAAAAGAAAAAAACTTAAACTGAAGGTCTTGCAACTACTGAATCAGCTATGAATGCTAATCAACAAGTATTAAGCATACTACCGGTATGCATATTCAATTAACCAAAATATATAATTAATTTATTAAAGTGCTACATACATATCTGTAACTTTCACATCACTTTACTTGATGTAAATCATTCACGAAAGACTGATATTACTACTCTATTGATTGATGGTAATTAGATTTTATTATGTTTTATACAGAAGGTATAACTATTTACTGCAACTACGTTGAACAAATCAACAAAGAAGCAAGATGTACAAGAAGTTAACCAAAAGATGTAATTAACTGATCAAATAGCAACATGCATATTTGTATTTTTCAAATGACATTACTATTGTGTGAGTCATCCTGGTGTCTACGTTGCTGACACACATGCAACGTATCATAGCAACACTCCTCCAACTCGTGTATCGGTCATCAGACAACACATGTAGTGCACAGGGCCCCATTCCACATAGCGATCTCAGTGATGCGTAGATTGTAAGCTTATGACAAAGTATGAAAGTTATGATCACCTTGGCGCTAAGATACCTTGTGGAACGGGGCCCAGGCAAACATAATATATCAGTGTGACTTTTGCATGTTCAGAATAGAGGCACATCTTCAAAATCATAAAACAGTACTACCCGGTATAGAAAACATGGAATAATTTTCAGTTTTAAGTATCTAAATATGGCACAAAGTCATTAGATTTCAATAACAAAGAAAACATATATCAATACAGGTAACAGTACATAACTGGCATATAATTACCAACATTTGATGTGTCATTCATATACGTATTTGGCACATTGCACAGAGATGATACAAGATTTGTCTCCCTTACAAGATTTTCTCACTTAGGTTCTTGTCAACTCTCTTCCTTCCATATCTACAGGTCTACAAGGACCTAATGATCAGTCACAGTTCCCTCATCAATATCTACTCCCACATAACACATGCTGCTACACATATTTGTAGCAAGACCTGTTTTGAGCAATATGTACACATTGTTGCAATTTTAGATGTGTCTTCCAAGATGATCATAGGAGATATCCTATATACTGTAACATCGTCATTTTCAATATAATGTGTTATCAAGAACATTTCTATTTCCTACAGTCAACAAGAAACATTAAGAAAATACACACATACAAACTTGAAAGTAATAAAACCTTCTACATGCATTTTAACAACAATTTGTACTTCATATAAAATTCTAAGGTTATTCAGATGTTAACATAATTTGGAGTGGAGACTCCTACTTATATCCACCCTTATATACATTGTATCTTTATACATACATTTATTTACAACATGTCCTTCACTAATACAATGTTAATGGTAAGATAGAAGAGGTTTTGTATATTTATTGTTTTTAAGTCCATAAATCCTACTAGATGTGATATTGATGTTCAATATTTGGTTATTTGGTCAAAATATATTTACAGGTGTATTACCATCACGCCATACACAGTAGAGTCAAATGTTTTACATCAGAAAATTACATGAAACTACAAAGTCATGCAAAAAAACCTGATTCATCAAACTTACTCTCTGTTAACATACTCCTGTACTTGTAGAAATATTTTTTTGAAGTTATCAACTCATATTTACAACATGTAACAGCCATAAGCATTACTCCATATTTACAACAATCCAACTGTCAAAGGTCATGGTGTCCTTATATCTCAATCGGGGAGACCATGTTTATATTCACATATATTGTCTGCTACATCATTTCTACACTATTTAGTAAAGCAGTTTTTCTCAACATTTTCAAACCTTTCACAAGCATGTAATTGATATTAGTACCTGGCAAATGGCAGGTGAGTATAAACTAAACAAGATACCTTGGTGTTTTGTTTCTCAAACTATCATTAAGTTTCTTGCACATGATTGTTTGTATACAAGATCAAATTTCCATCATCCACCAATTGATGTAGATAGTGGGACAGATAGATAGGAACAAATGGTGAAGTCATCTCAGGGGCTGTTGTAGTTGTAGAGAATGGCATCCCTTTGTGGCACCAAAATCCATTATTTTGCACATAAGTTAAAAGGTTCTAATTCTTTCAATACCGGCAAAAGGACGTAATAGGAAAGGTGTTGAACTGAACAGCGCAACTTTGTGACTAAGTTATAATTGGAGAGACTGTCCTTATCATCTGATTCATATTCTCATCAAAATCTGTCTTCAAGGTCATAATCAGCATATCATGCATTTGTAAGATACAAGTATAATAGGTCCATATTTACTTCAAAAGTATTCTTCAAGGTCATATCAACATAGGGTTTATTTACAAGATACTAGTATATTTGGTAAATATTTAGATAAAAATATTCTTCCAGGTAATACTATGGTGTGTTTGTAGAAAACTAATGTATCATGTCTATATTAACATACAGTCATATCAACACAGGGTTTGTGTGCAAGATAGTATATTAGGTCCGTATCTAAAACATGATGCAAAGTCATATGTGTATTTGTTAAGGTAAGAGTACATCAGGTCGATATTTACATCAATGTTATATCATCATGGACATACTGACATAGTGTTTTTGTGTAAGATACCAGTGTATCAGGTCCATATTTACATCAATATCATATCATCAAGGTCATACTAACGTAGTGTTTATTTGTAGGATACCAGTGTTTCAGGTCCATATTTACATCAATATCATATCATCAAGGTCATACTAACATAGTGTTTATTTGTAAGATACCAGTGTATCAGGTCCATATTTACAGCAATATTATATCATCAAGGTCAAACTATAAGTTGTGTTTATTTGTAAGATACCAGTGTATCAGGTCCTTATTTACAGCAATATCATATCAAGGTCATACTAACATACTGTTTATTTGTAAGATACCAGTGTATCAGGTCTATAGTTACATCAATATTACATCATCAAGGTCATACTAACATACTATTTATTTATAAGATACCAGTGTATCAGGTCCATATTTACATCAAAATCATATCATCAAGGTCATACTACATACTGTTTATTTTCAAGATACCAGTGTATCAGGTCGATACTTACAGCAATATCATATCACCAAGGTCATACTAACGAAGTGTTTATTTCTAAGATACCAGTGTATCAGGTCCATATTTACAGCAATATTATATCATCAAGGTCATACTAACGAAGTGTTTATTTGTAAGATACAAGTGTATCAGGTCCATATTTACAGCAATATTATATCAGCAAGGTCATACTAACATAGTGTTTATTTGTAAGATACCAGTGTATCAGGTCCATATTTACAGCAATATTATATCAGCAAGGTCATACTAACGAAGTGTTTATTTGTAAGATACCAGTGTATCAGGTCCATATTTACAGCAATATTTTATCATCATGGTCATACTAACATGGTGTTTATTGCTAAGATACCAGTGTTTCAGGTCCATATTTACAGCAATATTATATCATCAAGGTCATACTAACGAGGTGTTTATTTGTAAGATACCAGTGTATCAGGTCCATATTTGCATCAACATTATATCATCAAGGTCATACTAACGTACTGTTTATTTGTTAGATACAAGTGTATCAGGTCCATATTTACAGCAATATTATATCATCAAGGTCATACTACATACTGTTTATTTGTAAGATACCAGTGTATCAGGTCCATATTTACAGCAATATTACATCATCAAGGTCATACTAACATACTATTTATTTATAAGATACCAGTGTATCAGGTCCATATTTACATCAAAATCATATCATCAAGGTCATACTACATACTGTTTATTTTCAAGATACCAGTGTATCAGGTCCATACTTACAGCAATATCATATCACCAAGGTCATACTAACGAAGTGTTTATTTCTAAGATACCAGTGTATCAGGTCCATATTTACAGCAATATTATATCAGCAAGGTCATACTAACGAAGAGTTTATTTGTAAGATACCAGTGTATCAGGTCCATATTTACAGCAATATTTTATCATCATGGTCATACTAACATGGTGTTTATTGCTAAGATACCAGTGTATCAGGTCCATATTTACAGCAATATTATATCATCAAGGTCATACTAACGAGGTGTTCATTTGTAAGATACCAGTGTATCAGGTCCATATTTGCATCAACATTATATCATCAAGGTCATACTAACGTACTGTTTATTTGTAAGATACAAGTGTATCAGGTCCATATTTACAGCAATATTATATCATCAAGGTCATACTACATACTGTTTATTTGTAAGATACCAGTGTATCAGGTCCATATTTACAGCAATATTATATCATCAAGGTCATACTTGCGTAGTGTTTAATTGTAAGATACCAGTGTATCAGATCCACATTCACATCAATATTATATCATCAAGGTCATACTAACGAAGTGTTTATTTGTAAGATACAAGTGTATCAGGTACTTATTTACAGCAATATTATATCAGCAAGGTCATACTAACGAAGTGTTTATTTATAAGATACCAGTGTATCAGGTCCATATTTACATCAAAATCATATCATCAAGGTCATACTACATACTGTTTATTTGTAAGATACAAGTGTATCAGGTCCATATTTACAGCAATATTATATCATCAAGGTCATACTACATACTGTTTATTTGTAAGATACCAGTGTATCAGGTCCATATTTACAGCAATATTATATCATCAAGGTCATACTTGCGTAGTGTTTATTTATAAGATACCAGTGTATCAGGTCCATATTTACATCAAAATCATATCATCAAGGTCATACTACATACTGTTTATTTTCAAGATACCAGTGTATCAGGTCCATACTTACAGCAATATCATATCACCAAGGTCATACTAACAAAGTGTTTATTTCTAAGATACCAGTGTATCAGGTCCATATTTACAGCAATATTATATCATCAAGGTCATACTAACGAAGTGTTTATTTGTAAGATACAAGTGTATCAGGTCCATATTTACAGCAATATTATATCAGCAAGGTCATACTAACGAAGTGTTTATTTGTAAGATACCAGTGTATCAGGTCCATATTTACAGCAATATTATATCATCAAGGTCATACTAACGAAGTGTTTATTTGTAAGATACCAGTGTATCAGGTCCATATTTACATCAACATTATATCATCAAGGTCATACTAATGTACTGTTTATTTGTAAGATACCAGTGTATCAGGTCCATATTTACAGCAATATCATATCATCAAGGTCATACTACATACTGTTTATTTGTAAGATACCAGTGTATCAGGTCCATATTTACAGCAATATTACATCATCAAGGTCATACTAACATACTATTTATTTATAAGATACCAGTGTATCAGGTCCATATTTACTTCGAAATCATATCATCAAGGTCATACGACATACTGTTTATTTTCAAGATACCAGTGTATCAGGTCCATACTTACAGCAATATCATATCACCAAGGTCATACTAACGAAGTGTTTATTTCTAAGATACCAGTGTATCAGGTCCATATTTACAGCAATATTATATCATCAAGGTCATACTAACGAAGTGTTTATTTGTAAGATACAAGTGTATCAGGTCCATATTTACAGCAATATTATATCAGCAAGGTCATACTAACAAAGTGTTTATTTGTAAGATACCAGTGTATCAGGTCCATATTTACAGCAATATTATATCAGCAAGGTCATACTAACGAAGAGTTTATTTGTAAGATACCAGTGTATCAGGTCCATATTTACAGCAATATTTTATCATCATGGTCATACTAACATGGTGTTTATTGCTAAGATACCAGTGTATCAGGTCCATATTTACAGCAATATTATATCATCAAGGTCATACTAACGAGGTGTTTATTTGTAAGATACCAGTGTATCAGGTCCATATTTGCATCAACATTATATCATCAAGGTCATACTAACATAGTGTTTATTTGTAAGATACAAGTGTATCAGGTCCATATTTACAGCAATATTATATCATCAAGGTCATACTACATACTGTTTATTTGTGAGATACCAGTGTATCAGGTCCATATTTACATCAATATTATATCATCAAGGTCATACTTGCGTAGTGTTTAATTGTAAGATACCAGTGTATCAGATCCACATTCACATCAATATTATATCATCAAGGTCATACTAACGTAGTGTTTATTTGTAAGATACAAGTGTATCAGGTCCATATTTACAGCAATATTATATCAGCAAGGTCATACTAACGAAGTGTTTATTTGTAAGATACAAGTGTATCAGGTCCATATTTACATCAATATTATATCATCAAGGTCATACTTGCGTAGTGTTTATTTGTGAGATACCAGTGTATCAGGTCCATATTTACAGCAATATTATATCATCAAGGTCATACTTGCGTAGTGTTTAATTGTAAGATACCAGTGTATCAGATCCACATTCACATCAATATTATATCATCAAGGTTATACTAACGTAGTGTTTATTTGTAAGATAGAAGTGTATCGGGTCCATTTTTACATTTATATCATATCATCAAGGTCATACTAACATACTGTTTATTTGTAAGATACCAGTGTATCAGGTCCATATTTACAGCAATATTATATCATCAAGGTCATACTAACGAAGTGTTTATTTGTAAGATACCAGTGTATCAGGTCCATATTTGCATCAACATTATATCATCAAGGTCATACTAATGTACTGTTTATTTGTAAGATACCAGTGTATCAGGTCCATATTTACATCAATATCATATCATCAAGGTCATACTACATACTGTTTATTTGTAAGATACCAGTGTATCAGGTCCATATTTACAGCAATATTATATCATCAAGGTCATACTAACGAAGTGTTTATTGCTAAGATACCAGTGTATCAGGTCCATATTTACAGCAATATTATATCATCAAGGTCATACTAACGAAGTGTCAATTTGTAAGATACAAGTGTATCAGGTCCATATTTACAGCAATATTATATCATCAAAGTCATACTAACAAAGTGTTTATTTGTAAGACACCAGTGTATCGGGTCCATTTTTACATTTATATCATATCATCAAGGTCATACTAACATACTGATTATTTGTAAGATACCAGTGTATCACTACTTATTTACAGCAATATTATATCAGCAAGGTCATACTAACATACTGATTATTTGTAAGATACCAGTGTATCAGGTACTTATTTACAGCAATATTATATCAGCAAGGTCATACTAACGTCGTGTTTATTTGTAAGATACCAGTGTATCAGGTCCATATTTACATCAATATCATATCATCAAGGTCATATTAACGTAGTGTTTAATTGTAAGATACCAGTGTATCAGGTCCATATTTACATCAATATCATATCATCAAGGTCATACTAATGTAGTTTTTATTTGTAAGATACCAGTGTATCAGGTCCATATTTAAATCAAAATCATATCATCAAGGTCATACTAACATACTGTTTATTTGTAAGATACAAGTGTATCAGGTCCATATTTACAGCAATATCATATCATCATGGTCATACTAACGAAGTGTTTATTTGTAAGATACCAGTGTATCAGGTCCATATTTGCATCAACATCATATCATCAAGGTCATAATAATGTAGTGTTTATTTGTAAGATACCAGTTTATCAAGTCCATATTTACAGCAATATTATATCATCAAGGTCATACTAACATAGTGTTTATTTGTAAGATACCAGTGTATCAGGTCCATATTTACATCAATATCATATCATCAAGGTCATACTAACGTAGTGTTTATTTGTAAGATACCAGTGTATCAGGTCCATATTTACATCAAAATCATATCATCAAGGTCCTACTAACATACTGTTTATTTGTAAGATACCAGTGTATCAGGTCCATATTTACATCAATATTATATCATCATGGTCATACTAACATACTGTTTATTTGTAAGATACCAGTGTATCAGGTCCATACTTACAGCAATATTATATCATCAAGGTCATACTAACGAAGTGTTTATTTGTAAGATACCAGTGTATCAGGTCCATATTTGCATCAACATTATATCATCAAGGACATAATAATGTAGTGTTTATTTGTAAGATACCAGTGTATCAAGTCCATATTTACAGCAATATTATATCATCAAGGTCATACTACATACTGTTTATTTGTAAGATACCAGTGTATCAGGTCCATATTTACAGCAATATTATATCATCAAGGTCATACTAACATGGTGTTTATTGCTAAGATACCAGTGTAACAGGTCCATATTTACATCAACATTTTATCATCAAGGTCATATTCATGTAGTGTTTATTTGTAAGATAACAGTGTATCAGGTCCATATTTACATCAACATTATATCATCAAGGTCATAATAATGTAGTGTTTATTTCTTAGATACCAGTGTATCAGGTCCATATTTACAGCAATATTATATCATCAAGGTCATACTAACATAGTGTTTATTTGTAAGATACCAGTGTATCAGGTCCATTTTTACATTTATATCATATCATCAAGGTCATACTAAAATAGTGTTTATTTGTAAGATACCAGTGTATCAGGTCCATGTGGATCAAGGTCAGGTCAATAATATATCTAGATTATATCACACATGTAATATGTGTCAACAATGCTATACTTATACTTATGACGAAGATATGCCTCTTTACAAACATTGCATTAAAATGAATCGTTCACTAATTTACAAACACATTTTATGCCTTAACACCAGTCTTCTCTCACTTCATTCCAAGTTTCTGTGTACCTAAAAAGAAACAAGATGGCCTCTTGCAAGAACATCAACCAAAAGGCATATAATAAGAATAGAACCACAAGGCTCTGTGGCTCACCTGAATGTTTCTTGAATATTGGATTATGCACATGGTAAAGGTCATACTAAGAGGATAAAATGATAAACATGAAAATAAAAAGCTCTCAAAGTTGACAGGGTTACATAGAGCATTCGTTTACCGAAATTCAAAGAAATTTGTTTGTTTGTTTGTTGTTTAACGCCGCACTCAGCAATATTCCAGCTATATGACGGCGGTCTGTAAAGTAATCGAGTCTGGACCAGAAAATCAAGTGATTGACATCATGAGCATTGATCCATGCAATTGGGATCGATGATATGTATCAACCAACTCAGCGAGTCTGACCACCCAATCCCGTTAGTCGCCTTTCACGACCAGCACAGTCGCCTTTACGGCAAGTATGGGTTGCTGAAGACCTATTCTACCCCGGATCTTCACGGGTTTCAAAGAAATTTGAGATAGGTGAAGGCAGTGAGCTTAGTCGGGGACAGAGATGTTGGGTCATGTTCGTTACACTCTAACTGGTCAGCAAAACAAATAGCAGTACAGGCTTCAAGTCAAGGATCATCATGGACTATGGTGGTGCCTCAAACAATCAGGATATAGAAAACAGGTGGTGAAGAAAATTTTCCTCATGATTGCAGTGCATATGGAGAAAAGAGTTGAGTGGTGCAACAAAGGAAAAGATTTTCTAACATGATTTTCATCAATGAATCCAAGTTTCATTTGTTTCGGATATCAAGAAACAAGAAAACAGTGGTCTCCTCTATTTCTAGTTCAGGTGGGTAAATCAGTGGAAGGGAATTGGATATTTGCTAGTTATTGAACGATATCAGATCATATATGAATACAAAATGCCATTTAGAAAGTTGTCAAATGTAACAAATGTTATATTTGGGATAACACTTTCTCACAGATTCTCGTACTTTTTGGAGTTGAGTCCCGTCCGGGATTCAAACCCACACTTGCCAGAGTGAGGCACCGAATCGCCAGCACACAAAGTCAGTGATCTAACCCACTCAGCCACCACAAAAAGTGTCTGAGTGGGTTATATAACATTTGTTACATCAGATCATATAGCAGAAGCTTAATATTAAGTTAAACTTCTTGACCAAATTACCTTGTTTTGATTTTGCCAATCCAAACAGAAATTCCAATGTATATGCATAAAGAAACAGATGCATAAAGAAACAGATGCGCAAGAAGGGGAGCACAATTGGTGCCCTTGGGTGGGGTTGGGGGCCTACTTCTTGCTTTAACAACAAATGGTGATGGACAAACAGGTCAGGACATAAGCTCATTTGACCTCCAGTCTGAAGAGCTGGAAACTTTAAGTCATAAACACACTGAACACTATTTATGATAAAATATGGTATAAAACAGGACGAACTGAGCATATTTTACCATGCTGATGTATTACATAATAGCAGTAATGCTTTCACTTAGGAGAGAAAAATTCAAAAGTCAATGTCTGTGTTTTCGTCATAACACTTACCAGTAATGAGTTTTGAGCATGGGTTGTCCTCTGTATGTGTGTAATCTCATTTACTCTTTTTTAAAATTCAAAGCAAGTATCAAATATTAAAAACAAAGTTAAGTCATATCTATTAGTTCATAGAAAGAGGCCTAATATATCCTAAATATTCTAAATACCTTTGGGTTTGTGCTCAACTGGTTTTATAATCAAACTATCATCCATGAACAATAATGGCAATAGGAAAACTGCCAATGGCAACTATATCATTTGATAATTCCAACTGATCTGTGATCACTTAAATACCAACAATAATGTTAGATGGTCAAAAGCAATATCTTACCCAACTGATTATTACTTCTTCCTAAAGTTCAATGCTTTTTTCTGACGTCGTTGTGTCTTGTCGGTCTTCTTTGTAACAGGTTGAAACAGTGCTGATTTCTTCTCCTCCCTTACTCTTTTCTCCTGTAAACAAAGAATTAAGGTTTTTTTCAAAACCTGATTAAAGTAATAACTGTAAAAAACAAAAACTCTAATCTGCTAATTGTCACCATTTTGCCAATGTAGGCCATATGTCAGGTGAGCTAAAAATGTGAAAACAGAATATTTGAAAGCTGGATTCAAAATCTGTCATATCTTGATCCAAATGGTTGTGATTGTACTTGGTCCATACTTACTGTTTAGAAAAATATCAAAGCAGGGAGCTTATTAAAACCATATGCAATGAAGTCAATGATCAAGTGGAAGAAAACAAACTTTGTTCAAATGTCGATGAAACTAAAACTTTTGCAATAAGTGAATTACAGTCAGCATTTTTTAAATGCTGTATAACATTGTTGTAAGTTGAAGTTTATTTCCTATCCTAAGAAATTACTAGCAGACTGATTACCCTTCTTAAACATCTTAAAAATCTTAAAAATCTTCAACCAATAAAACTGAAGGCCATTAAATTAGTTTTACCCTTTACTTACCTCAACACTTTCAGCTATGAAGACAATGGTCCAGTAGATGTGTTCAATGCAATGTACATCATGAAGTAGTCCGGCATCTGGATTTCTACTTTTTGCAACAACATCTTCATAAACTCCTTGTGGCCACAGAGTTTTCTCCATGAGTCGTGGTGCCAGTTTATCATCTTGGCTTACAAATCCAGACTGCACATAACGAAATACAATCTTCTTCAAAGCAGAAATTAACGCCTCTTGAAATCTGAGACCAGTGTTCCTCATTAATGCACTCAACAGCTTCATGCATTCTTCTGGTAGTTTACTCCTGTATTTTTCTTCAATGCCATCAAAAATGACATCAGCCATCACATCCTCTGTTAATTCATACACAGAAATGATCTGACTTAGTCGAACTCTGCTACATAACCCATCCACTTCCTTCACTCGATTCGGGAACAAAGATTGCCATGTTTGTAGGAATTCACTCAAGTACTGGTTTTTGTCACTGCCGGATACTGGGGTTCTGTTCAGTAAACTAAATGTCATTTGCAAATAATCTAATAGTACTTGCATATTGGATGGACTTTTATCTTTCAGTTGGAGAATGGAATTCTTCAAATCTTTGTCAACAGCATCATGACCAACTATCTTTGAAACACTTTCAAACAGTTCATCTGTTTTATGCAATGATTCACCTGCAAAGTTTATCATGGGAAAACTGGATCCAACTTTTATCATTGGCTTGCTCAGTAGACACTCATCAACTACCTGTGTTTCAATTTGGTAGATGTCATAGTGTCTTTCTCTGCCATGACCATATTTTGTGTTTATCTGAGAAAATTTAAGAGTCTCTTCCAAACCTGGCACTGATATAACCTGTTTTGAGTTGATGTGTTCCAGGTGCACTTCTGCTAACACTGCAACCCCAGCTGTCCTTTTGAGGAAGCTGATAGATAAACTATTAGTAGACAAACACAAGACTGCTGCATCTGATAGAAACTTGTTCTGGATAGCTTTCAAAGCCAAGAGTACTTGCATCATAGGAGACTGTTTTGTCATAATTATACAATCTTGCAGTAAGGCAGTTTGATGAATTCTTTCTAATTCTGGCAACTGTTGATTGTAAGTTTTCAGATCGTCCTGATGACCTTTCAATGTATTCCATGATTTCATGAAACAGTCAAATCTCTCCCGCAACTCTGTTTTCTTGTTATCCCCATTCAATAGCTGTTGAATAGGTGCATGAATGAAATCTTGTACCGTCTGAGACCTACAGTTGATTCTCTTGAGCCTGTGGCTAGCATATCGAATGACACACTTATGCCATTGTATTATTGGGATCAGATGCTGTAGAAGTGATATGTCTTTCATTCTATCAAACAGCAATGCCATCATTGGAAAGTCATGCACTTGTTTCCGAATGGTAAATTCCCTTTGCAAGTTCTCTATGCTTGGAAGTGTATTTTCTCTCATTAATTTTGGAAGTTCTGCTAATCTGTCTCCATCACCAGGTATTTCTGCCAAGAGTACTTCATGCCTTGAAGATGTACTTTCAGAATATCTTGTGTGGTATAGTCTTGTTTCATCCTGCACAATCTGGAACCTTTTCTCCATGATCTTATCAATACATGTAGTGAATTCCTCCTCATATAGTTCACGCTCCTCTCTGCTATGAAACGGAACACTGTGTCTAGCAATGAGTGGCATACAATCCTTAATGATGAGGTTCAACAGTTTTGCCAGTTGAGAATCACCCATTGCTGTCAAATGTTTCAGAGCACACCAGTGCACACGAAGATGACTTTCAATGTAACTTGAAGCATCAACAGGTTCTGGTAATTGCATTGCTTTTGAAAGCACTTCTTTAGTTGTGAACTTTAAAGCAAGTGATGCACATAAACATCCATGGAGAAAGAACTGAAGAACCCGGAATGCAGCTGGAGACATGCTTCGCACTGATACAAATTCACTCTTGAGGCATCCAATATCAACAAAGATATACCCTTTTCCGTCGTTACCAGTACTATCCATAGTTGAAATACCACACAGTTCACCATCTTGTAGGGGTTGTTGGCATATGTTGCACTGATGGTCTTCTATTGCCACATCATGGATTGTAACACTGTTACACGAACATGAAGATCTGGCATACTTTGTCTTCTTTGTGACAACTGGGGCTAAAGTAAAGCAGCACAATTCTCCTTCTTTATAACCACAGCCTGGGAGATACAGCTTTTGCACATCTTTGGGAGCCTGTATACATCTCAGCCAAAATGGACTCTTTTGACTGACAACTCCATAATTGGAATTATATGCGAGTACAGAGCATACTAAGTGTAAAATGCACATTGACAAATGGTGGTCTTCAGCTGATTTATTTGGATTTGTCTGTAATAACTGAACAGCAAAATCCTCCATTGTACACAAGTTTGTGAACATTTGACGTTGATTGTCAAATAATTTGATGTGACATTCTTGCCAGAACAGTTTCACTTTCTCATTTCGCTCTGTATCAGTAATTCTTCGTACACTCTGAACAACATAGATTTTCTGTAGAGCAACACCGAATACACCATACAAAATTTCAGGATTGGACTTTATGCCTTGGAGTATATTCTTTAGTTTTGTGCGGTCTTTGGGTAATACATCATATGCACTGAGAACCCGAGTGAAGACATCCTGGCAGGTCATTTCCATGGGACACAGTTCTAGAGCTAAGAATCTGTGTTCATCTTTCATTTGAAATTCACTGACAAATGGCCACTCTGATGAATACTCATTGACCACTTCTTCCAGTCTCTTCAAGGCTGGGCCTTGAGTAAGGACTTTTAAAAGGAAAGTTTGCAGGGAACCTGTTCTCATGTTCTTAAGTGAATCACTATCGGATTCATCACAGCTGAAAATTCCATGAATCTTTTGAATGATATGTAGGTCCATTGCCTCATTTCTGTTCAACTCAGAAGCAAGATGTATCAAAAAGTTTTTCAGGTAGGCCAGTGCAAATAAATGATGCAAGGATAATCCATCTGATTTAAAACTTTTGTCACACTTTAATACTTTCTCTATTGTGTCACTGTCTAGGGAAAAGCTCTGCGGACAAAAGTTTGTTTGCAAGACGTCAAGGATGAGACAAGCTAACTGAGAATCAGGCTCTCCATTGTCTTTAAAAGTTTCTACACAAACTTCCAAACACTGCAATACAGGAGACACTGCAACTACATTTTCCTCACCAAGAATATCTGATTCTATTTCAATCAACATAGTCTGAAAGATTGTTGGTCCAAAGTAGTCAAGTGAAAACTCAAATATTGATAGACTCTGCAAAGATGAAAATGTCCAATTCAGCAAAGAGTTTTCTGTGTCTGCAGCCAAGCAATTGCTGATGTAAATTGAAAAGAAGTGCTGTAGCACACTGCAAGGAACTGTTCCTGCTTCAAGCAGTTCCTCAACCAACTCACAAACTATACTAAAGACAGTCTTACTTTCAAGTGTATCAGCCTTCAGTGCTTGTCCAAATCTATGAAGGTAACTTATTGATAATTTAAATGGAACTAAGACAACATATGTGAAGTCACTGCACATTCTAAGAGATAGGAAGACTTTTGACTGTGATACTTCTCCTGCAAGAGATAGAACCAGGTTAACTCCATTTATCCACTTTTCTAACTCAAGTCTTGACAACAGTCTTTCTGTGGGAATCAACTCTTGGCAGGCAAAACTCACTAAGGCAGTTTTATTGTCTTCACAATCGTCTGCACATAGTTCATTTTCTGTTGACAATTCGTCTTTGGCAATTTCAGGGTCATCTTCATCAGAAGTTGGTTGGTCTTCAAACTGGATTTCATCAGATGCTGGCATCAATTTCACATTGTCTTCCCTCTGATATCCAACTTCATTTTCTGTTGACAATTTGTCTTTGGCAATTTCAGGTTCATCTTCATCAGAAGTTGGTTGGTCTTCAAACTGGATTTCATCAGATGCTGGCATCAATTTCACATTGTCTTCCCCCTGGTAACCGACTTCATTTTCTGTTGATAATTTGTCTTTGGCAATTTCTGGTTCATCTTCATCAGAAGTTGGTTGGTCTTCAAACTGGATTTCATCAGATGCTGGCATCAATTTCACATTGTCTTCCCCCTGGTAACTGACTTCATTTTCTGTTGACAATTTGTCTTTGGCAATTTCAGGGTCATCTTCATCAGAAGTTGGTTGGTCTTCAAACTGGATTTCATCAGATGCTGGCATCAATTTCACATTGTCTTCCCCCTGGTAACCGACTTCATTTTCTGTTGACAATTTGTCTTTGGCAATTTCTGGTTCATCTTCATCAGAAGTTGGTTGGTCTTCAAACTGGATTTCATCAGATGGTGGCATCAATTTCACATTGTCTTCCCTCTGATATCCAACTTCATTTTCTGTTGACAATTTGTCTTTGGCAATTTCAGGTTCATCTTCATCAGAAGTTGGTTGGTCTTCAAACTGGATTTCATCAGATGCTGGCATCAATTTCACATTGTCTTCCCCCTGGTAACCGACTTCATTTTCTGTTGATAATTTGTCTTTGGCAATTTCTGGTTCATCTTCATCAGAAGTTGGTTGGTCTTCAAACTGGATTTCATCAGATGCTGGCATCAATTTCACATTGTCTTCCCCCTGGTAACTGACTTCATTTTCTGTTGACAATTTGTCTTTGGCAATTTCAGGGTCATCTTCATCAGAAGTTGGTTGGTCTTCAAACTGGATTTCATCAGATGCTGGCATCAATTTCACATTGTCTTCCCCCTGGTAACCGACTTCATTTTCTGTTGACAATTTGTCTTTGGCAATTTCTGGTTCATCTTCATCAGAAGTTGGTTGGTCTTCAAACTGGATTTCATCAGATGGTGGCATCAATTTCACATTGTCTTCCCCCTGGTAACCGACTTCATTTTCTGTTGACAATTTGTCTTTGGCAATTTCAGGTTCATCTTCATCAGAAGTTGGTTGGTCTTCAAACTGGATTTCATCAGATGGTGGCATCAATTTCACATTGTCTTCCCTCTGATAACTGACTTCATCTTGACTTTCTGTTTCAGTTTCTAACACGATGTCCAATATATCCACCACACCACTTGCTGTCACAAATGGCTGGCCGTCTCCATCTAGCTGTGGTTCTGCATCCACATCTGGGACAAAGTATTCACATTTTTCCAAAGAACCATCTTCCTCCGAGCTACATGAAGATACATCTTTCAAATCTGCCTTTGCTTGTCTCTGTGAATCAGACGAACTTGCAATGATGGAGAGGTTCCTGCTTTGTAGAAAGTCATCCAATTGTGTTTCTGTTAGGTCAAGGCACACATCAATTAATTTGATCTCTGATTCTGTGACTGGGCCATACAACCAACATGTGATATGCAAGCTGCATACATCATATTCAAATGAATTCCCTTTTCTTGTAAATCGAGACAAGATTGACCACTCCATTGTTTTTGCTCTTTGCTTTTCTGTCATTTGCAATTTGATTCGTGAGAATATGACATTACAAAAGTCATGAAAGTAGTCAGTAAACTGGTCTTCACTGTAAGTATTTTCAAACATGTCTGCTGCTGCTTGACTTACTGATGACTGGAATCGCACTGTTAACATATCCTTGATATCTTCAGTAATTTCATCAACTTCAAAGTCTGAATATTCAGCTCTGAAGGCATCCATGAATGGTTCTTTCAAAGTTTCTATCTGGTCAATAAACACTTTGCTGAAGGGGCACCTGAGTGATAGTACACTGTCCATAATGACATAACATTCTGGACCCTCTGGTTGTGGAACAGATTCAGTATCAATCATATTTTTATCATGTACAAAGTTTAACCAGACCTCTCTTTTTCTGTCTTTGTCTTTATCACTGCTCCACAAAGTTACAGCATCCCAAGAACTTGAGGCTTCAATTTTGTAAACAAGGGCAGCTAATGGATGTTTTATACATGTTGAGATTTCATGTTCTAGAGCATCATGAAGAGTAAGAAAATTGTAGAGCTTTAATCTATCACATGCTACATCAAGTTGCCAGCACTGAGATTCATCTGCATCTAAATGTTCTTGTAAACTGGTTAACACCAATTCCTCAAGAAATATCATCAACTGTGAATCACCTACTATGGCATCAACTACATCCTTAAGACTCGCCAAACTCCTTGGTATGTCATGATAGTCAAGTAGGGTGAATGCCCAAAAAAGATGCTGCTTCAAAAAAGACGTTACTGGGCGTCTTTCATGAATAAGATGCATCTTCCTTTTATGGAGTAAGTCTTGAAGAGAGATCTCCCTATTTTCAAGGCTGTCTATGAATGTCATATTCCATCCACTCAAAAAGTTTACAAGACTAAGAGTGTTTTCAGATTCATTTCTGTCCATATGCATAACAACTATTACATGTTTTTGGTCTTTATGATCCTTTTTAGACATAAAATCATCATGTTCCCTGTCAACAACAGATTTCATCAAGAGAATATTCTCCTGATCCGTACTTGCTGAGCATTGAATAACAAGCCATGTCTTGGAAGGGTCACTCCAAAAACTCCCGATTCTGGTACAAAGTTGCTTTTCAGATTTAAAAGCACCAAGTTTTTCACTTTGAATATCAACTGAACTAATCTCCATGCATGCACTTACATTTGTGTGAAGATTGCTGTGAGTAAACATAATTTCCTTCAAACAACATTTACTCTCTTCAAGTCTTGCTTTCAGTAGATGTGCCAAACCATTATGAAGAGGCAAATGAAAGAAATAATCCTGCAGTTCTTGTACTTCATTAGAGTCTTTCTTTTGCAGTTCACTCAAATCCATTCGTACAATTGATTCTGGAGAACACATTGTCAGTACCAGTCTTTTGCACATGTTCATATGAGCAGTGGAGTCACATTCATTATTCTCTTCAGAATATACAAAATGAACAAGTGAAGCAACCATGTCTGGGCTGTCTATCGGAATAACATCACTCCTTGTAAAGGTATGCCCATGAATATTTGCAATTTTGCCGATCCAGTCTTCTAAAATTGAGACATCCTTCAGTTCAGTTGGTGATAGTAATTCAGTCAGTTTCATATACTGCTTTTCAAATCTGTTCAAAAAGGGTGGGTCTGATAGATCCAGTTTGTCTTCCTCCACCAACACAATGCATCGAAAATCATCATGCACATGACACAATGGATTGCTGTAAGCTCCAAGTGCAATGCGACAATTCTTCTTTGAACCAACTATGGTGTAATTCTGATTCAGCATGTCATACAGGCTGCCATAGATATTCTCCAAGTCTTTCAATATCAACACCACACCTTGCTCCATACACAGTATGATCCTGCTCAATATGCGATAATTGTAGTCATCTGTTAAATCCTCTTCAAAACGACTACCAAGGATGGAAACAAACTTTCTGTTCTTTTTATCAAGCAAGTCTTCAATAATGCTCAAAGCAGATTCCCCTCTTGTGGACAAAAGTAGATGACGTGCAGATTTATCTTTGATGTTATCTGCTACAAGATCTAACACTGACGGAATGTCTTCCATCTCAGGAAAATTGACAGAAAGCAACTTCTCCAAATGCTCTCTGTATACTGTCAAAACAGAGTGTATTTCACTGGACAGTCCCCCAAAGTTACGCAGCAATCCTTTCATAATGATTTTTAACTGCACATCTGAAACAATGGAGTCATGGTCAGATAGGGAGCTGAATTCCTTTGAAACATATTTCACAAGTGAATAGAAGTCTCTCAGACCATGGAAATTCTTAAATGTCTGTTCTCCTGTATATTGCAAATAAGCATTTGCTATTGCTCGGACAAGATTTTTATCAATTTTCCTTTCACAGTCTTTCAATGAACATGGTGACGACAGACTCATTCTTTTCTGAGAATCTGATACACTTGTCTCACTGATAGAAATTCCTGTAAGATAAAGCTCTTCAGCATCCATATCAGGTCTTGAGAGATGGATAGCTCTATTCATCTTAGCTGCATCAAGTGCCCAGTTGGAGATACCAACAACAGCAACATTTGGAAGCTCTGTATCCCCAGGCTCCAATAAACTATGGAGAACTTTCAGGGGATTAAATCTTGACATCTCTGCAAGTCCAATTTCATCCAAAATGACAACAGGTAGAACACTGTTGTCTTTATCATTCTCTTTGTATTTTTCAGCTTTAGCAAATACCTTGAGGATCCCCTCAGAGGTAGATGATTCAGATCCTTGATATGACACACAGAACACCTGAGGCAAACTCTGAAAATAAGGATCTTTTGAATCTTTCCCCCTCAAGTTACTTTTAATCAACTGCAGGGATAGAGACTTACTACAACCTGGTTTCCCAACAACAAATACAGGTATGTGATTGAGGATGCAAACCAAAATGACAAATACATTTTCCTGGAGAGCTGTGTTTTTTGCTGTACCTTGAGGTAATTCCATTCTATTAAGAATGTCTTGTTGTTCATTTTGGATGATGCTGAAGATCTCCTGCTCATTTGAACTGACAAAACTGGCACTAAAAATCTTGGCAATTTCTTGTCTGTAGGTCTGTCTGCTAGATGCATCTGGAAGCCGTGAGTGGTATGAATGTGCTAATGCTAAGACCACAGATGACTTTTCCAAAACAACACCAGGAGAAAAGCATTTCTTACTAAGTTTTTCCTTCTTCTTCAATGTCACTTTGAACCAATCTATCAACTTCCGACACCTACTCACATCACGTAGGCTAACACATGATCCTGAGTGTTCCCTTTTACGGATAAAGCTTTGAGACATAACCAACAGTGCAACTACACAATTTTCCAAACTTTGATGAACACAGCCAGTTATCATGCGCTTTATGTATGCCTTTTCATCACTGTCACTCAAACTGCCATAGTCCCATACAAAATCGACCATACTTTCTGGAAGTGGATTCACTCTGTACACCAATCTGGACTTCTCATCAGCTTGCACTTTAGTTTCTAGTCCTGCAGTGAAAATACTCTGGTCACTTCTTATCTTGTATGGATTACATGCTGCCATGACAACTAGGTTAGGAGCAAGAATATTACCTTGACATATGTGATGGCAAAGAATTGTATTGATTAAACCAAGGTGGTTGCAAGTGTTGATTTCATCCAGAAACAGCCACACTATGTCATCCAAAGAGTTCAGGGCTTTTTCATTCACTTCCATAACCCTTCTTAAAATCTCATCGTCTGCAATCCCTGCATGTATGTTTTGTATTTCAAGATCTACTCCACAGATAACAGACAAATATCTGATCAAACTTGTTTTTCCACATCCAGTTTCCCCCATGATAATGACAGGAACATGAGCCCTCGTTCGGAGTATGATCAGAATCATCTTCAAGAGATTGTCAGGTGTGAGGGCATAAGAAGAACTCATGTGCTTCATAACCTCATCAGATGTTGCTCCCGGTTTGAATCTGGCAATTCGCTGTAACATATCTCGAAGTTCTGTATGACTTAGGTTTGAGAACTCAGGCATCGCAGCTTTCACTTGTGTCTCAAAGAGTGTTTTCACATGTACTGGGACCAAAGTTTTCTTCCTGTAAAGAGCAGAAAGTGTTTGAATGTCTTGATTGTGAAATGCAATGAGTAAGTGATTACTTTCCTCCCACTGTATCATGGCTTCTACACGTTTAGTCATTGCTGAAGCTGATGCCGAAGTAGACACTAGGTTTTCCATACTCTGACTGATGTCTGCAGATTGACTCATTGTTTGAACGCTGGCCATCTGATCTTCCCTGCATGCATGAACAGATCTTGTAGCAAATTCCCTGGATACATCAAGAAGAGCCCTGAACAACTGACTCTTAACATCTTTTAAAAGTGCATCTCCACCAAGCATTCCTGACAAATTTGTTGTCCTAAAGAAGTAACTGCACGAAAACTTTTTCAATTGATCTGACAACACATTCAAAAATGTTCTCACAACAGAGAAGGACATATCTGTTCCACTCGAAAAATACTTCTTGAGCAATTCCCTACATTTTTCCTGTGGTAAGGGCCTGCATGCATCTTCACCAGTAAAGTACAAGTCAGTGGTGTCCAGTTTTCCGCAGTCATATGCTTGCAAGTAGTGACAGACAACCTGCACAGAGCTGCATGTTTCAATGCTTGCAAAGAAATTTGCATAATTTTGCCATTCGAGCATTTCTCTTCTAAAGCATAAAGCTGTATTTAATGAGTTTCTTAGACTGTTACTGATAGTGTTTGCTACTTCAATACAAATTGTTTTTGTTGTGAGTTTCACCAAATCCGATCCATGGAAAACAAAACCTGACACTATCAACTGAGTGAGAAGCAGATCCACTTCCTTGGGTTTAGAAAGCATTCCAATATCAATGTGGAGCAGATCTGATGACTTCAACTCAAGGTGCGACATCTTCTTTACAAGTTGTTTTGGGCTCATTTCCCCACTAACATGCAATGAGCAGACTCTCATATGTCTTGACCATGCTAATTGCTGGATAAATTCTGATTTTCCTTGACCTGGGACGTCTGATAAGACGGTGACAACATTTGGCCATAATGTCTTCAAACATTCTTCCATTGCTGATTGTGACATTGGCTGCACTTGATGAACATTTTCTCCAAAATGATCTAAAAAGGGGTGATGTGCATTTCCTCTACAAATTATTGCCAGTAGGTAAGACTCTTTCTCTATTATTTCAAGTGTATCAACAAGTCTAAACTGAAGTTCACTTGAGAGATTTTCAACACAAACAATAGAGAATAGCTGAATTTGTTTCTTTTCCCTTTTACCACCAAGACACCTTCGCATAAGAAGTTCAATGTCTTCCCAAAGTGTATCCTCTTGACAGAAAAGTACTTGACTAGACATAGGTAAATATCCAGTTGTGTTTTTGTACAAAGCTAATAATGTTGGGACAACTAGGTCACTGTCATCATTCAAACCTACAACAAAAAGTTCCCCTTCATGAACTGCATCAGCTGCCCTTCCAGATTTTGTATCAGGAAATGGAGTATACATAGGTGTTTTACCTTGAAACAAGATGTCTAGTGTTTTTCCAACACTTTTCAGCGAAAAGGCATCATGTCCTACATCCTTCTGAACTTTGGAATATATGTCTTTTCCTCTTGACATATCTTTGAAGTCATAACCAGTAAAGGAGAGAAGATCACATATGTCTCTATCTCCTTTATGGTGCACTGCCTTGAAGTGAGTTTCAATTTGACGCAATTGTTTAGGATAAAAAAAATTCAGCCAATAATATTGATTTCTACTATCGCTTAATGCAGTTTGCCAGTTCAATAGCGTATTGCTATATTCAGTCGCATGTTCCTGCAGATCTATGATGCTGAATGAGGCTGTGTATTTATCATGATACTCTGGATGACCTGACTGACAGAGTTCTGTCAGAATTGAAGCAATATTCATGGCATCATCAACAGACTGCTTAAACACTGTAAAATCTTCTTTTATCTTGTCTTGTTTTTTTGCCCTACCCTTTTCTTTCACATCTGTATTCATTAACATAACTCTACTTCTCAAGTCACAAATATCAGAGTATGTATGAGTCCTTGTTGTGCTGTGACTCTTATACTTCAGATTAACATCACATCCAGACTGGGATAATGTAAATCCATACTTTGAACCTTGCTGGACAGCTTTTTTAACAATTTCTTTTGTAACTTCACCCCTATTAGCTACATTATGAAACAGAGCCTTTAGGCTGTGAAGGTGTGTGTTACACTCAGAAATCTTTTGATCCAAGTTTGTTATTTTTGAATCAGACAGTGACTTTTGCAGCATTGTCAAGACATGTTCCACATCTGAATGAAGGTTTTCCCTCAGTATTGGACTGAGAAATCTTTTCACACTTATCAGAGCCGACACAGTAGATTCTTGCACTGACTGCTCCGAGTGCTCCTCAACAGCATCAATTAGGTTTCGCAGATCTTCCAAAGCTGTCTCTCGAAGAAAGTCAACGAGTTTTGATGAGTTTGAAAGTTCCTCCAAAATAGATGAAAGTTCTCCCTCAAGTATCTGACTTATTTGAGTTAATATTTTGCCAGTTTCAAAGAGCTGTCTCAGGGTCAGGTCATCCACAGTCTTTTCTTCAAGAGAAGTAAATGCTTGCACAGATTCTGCAAATGTTTTCTCCATTTCCTGTAAGTGAAGTATTTTCAACACCTTCCTCAATATTTCAACTTTACCTGAATACTCATAGTACTTGTCATACATGTGAAGTGCTTTCTTCACCCAATCCTTTAACTTACTGTCAAAGTGACTTTGTGCCAGTAACTGTTCATCAGGACTGTCGTCAACATCAAGCAGTGGACGTATTTCACCTATGCTTTGATCAGAGCCTTCAAAGAGAGGCCTCCACATATTTTCATATTCTACTATACATTCAGAAGCAAGAATTTCTATCACCTTCAAAGTTACACAAGGAGTATCATTTTCAATTCTGTCTTCTCCAAATAGCTCACAAATACTATCTTCTGGACCAGAAGACACAACTGTTTCTAATATATCAGGAATTGATAACCACTGATTGATCACTGTTTTAGAGATGTTCCAAAAACTTTGTGAATTTGAAACATTTGAAATATGTTCACAAGATCTGAGGATATCACAGAAAGGGCCCCAAAATGAATGATCAAGAAGAGTTGATATAGCTACTGATCCTTCATGAACATCTAATTGCATTTCATGAAACATTCCAAATGCAATTTCTAAATCAGGCCATTTTCCTCCAAAGTGAAGTTTAAGTTTGCTCAAAATATGAGAAATGAATAGTTCATCACGTTCTGCCATTTTTTTTGCTTCAGGTAACAGTGACAACGCCTTATCAAAGTCTTCTTTCTTGCAGACCTTACTAGAAAGTAAAAGCATTTTGGTACACTTAGAAAAACCATCTTTTAGCGCTGCATGTAATTTCCTTGAAAATAGCAGAGAACATGTGTTGTGACACAACTGTTGTGCTACCTTGACAGAAGCTCCTCGAGCTTTATGGAGAACAACATTTGTCTTCAGGAATTCGTATTGACCTGCCATAGACAGCAGGTTTGTCCAGAACTCTACATTTTTCAACATCAAAAGAAAGCAGGCTTCATCATTCTCTGTTTTTTGTAAGCCACACTGTTCAATGCATTTCACCAGCATGTCTTCATACAATCTGAAAATAAATATAGAAACAATATATATAATGTTTTGGAATTGTGAAATATGAGGAAGTCTATGGTAATTTATGTGACATACAGTAAACTATGTTTATAACAAACACACTTATAATGAACTGACAGATATAACAAACTGCTTTTTCGATCCTGGCTATTTGCTGTAGTGAGTGAGTGAGTGAGTTGGGTTTAACACCACTTTTAACAGTATTAGTTAATTGCGGCATGTCAGCTAAATGTGGGAGGAAAGCTTTTGGAATTCGAACCCACAATCATAGGCTTCTAGCCTGCTCAAGGAACGCAACTCTGCACAGCGAATCATGGCTCCTTAGACGACTCGGCCACCCGTGCCCCCTATTTGCTTTATCATATAAAACTTTTACAAACCTATAGAGGTTATGAATTCTCTGATGAAATCCTCCTTGGGGCACTTATTGCATTTTCCTTGCTCAAGAAAATCTACATGACATAGTTGTAACCATTTTCCTTAATAAAAAATGTTACCACACAAAAAACTTTGTTTTTGTATGATATACGACCACCCTTACGGGGCCTCACCCCCAACGGCGCCTCACGCCAGGGGGAGCAACTCTCACCCAAATCACTTTCCATATGTCAAATGCTGACGGAATGTGGGGAGGTGGGTGGCCGTGCCCCAAGGAGGATTTCATCAGAGATTTCATAACCTCTACAGGTTTGTAAAATTCTCTTTCAGATTAAATCCTCCTTGGGGCACTTATTGCATCAAGACAGACTCTAAAAGATAATCTAGGAAGTGGCATCCGTCAGCAACAGGCGTAAATAAATACATCGTATTTGATTATTCAACAGAATAAAATATTGAGTTCAATAAATGGAACCAACCTTATCTTGAGGCACCACTGTCGAAAGGCGGGGGCTCTAGAGACAGGGCGTGGTCGACCATATATTATGATAAAGCCTGTTTTAGCGGCTTGTCATAAGTTGAGAACTCGAAACACCTCCCATCCCCCCACACTTTTTTTGAACAAGTGATATAGGGGCGTAGATCACGAGAGACCATAACCAGCCAGCCTTCCTACCGCCGTAACAGCAAAATAGTTGGTTATCCTTACGGACACCCATATTTCTGCTGATATAGGCCTTGAGGGTCGTGCGGACATCCAAGACATGAGCATGTCTTGCAGTGGTCCCCGACGAGGAAGGCTGTGAAAGAGCAGGTAGCTCAATAGGAGCCGTTCACGTGGAAGCGTGTGTGACCCTAGGACAGTAAGAGTCCGGTAGTCGAAAACTGACTCTGTCCCGGTGGAAGACAGTTATTTCGGTATCGGCTAACATAACACGAAAGTCGCCTACCCGTCTGCCCCACGTTACCACCACAAGGAACCCGTCTCCCAGCTAAAAAGCTGAAGAGAGAGAGACGACAGATCCCAAAAAGGAAGGACCGGACAGCCAATCGAGAACAATTGACAAGTCCCAAGGGGGACTGATCCGCCGGACTGGCGGTCGGATCCTGTCCACACCTGCTAAAAAGCGCTGCACTAATGGGTGTGCACCCAGAAGTGCCCCGTCGACAGGGACGTGAAAAGCTGCGATAGCTGTAGAGTACCCTCGGCCTGTTGATGCGGCCAGGCTGTCATCTAGTCGCGACTGGAGAAACTCAAGCACGGCTACGAGATCTGCAGAAAAAAGATCTGCAATCCCTCTATCGACACACCAGGGCGCATAGCAGGCCTATCTATCCTCGTACTGAACGTTTGTTGAATCCCTCAATTGAATCCTGGGATTCGGGTGGAGGGCCCCGTTCTGGGATAGGAGGTCCAGTCGTAAAGGTAATATAACAGGAGGTTGAGCCAGAAACCTGAGTATTACTGGAAACAATGCAACTCTGCGCCAACTAAAGAGGTGCCAGGAGCACAATTAGTCGCGCAGGCTGAGTGCCTAGCTGAGACAGGACCTTGGAAATCAGAGGTACTGGGGGGAATGCCCATAGAACTGTCCGTCCAATCTAGCTGGAAGGCGTCCGGTGCCACCGACCTCGGGTCGTGGACTCGGGAGCAGAAAGTTGGTGTCTGGTGATTCACCCCAGACGCAAACAGATCCACCTGTAACGGCCTGTATAACAGGGAGATAATCCCGAATATCCCCGGGTCGAGCCTCCACTCGTGAGGAGCAAGGATCCGGCAAGACAGAGCGTCCACACGGACGTTGTCCACCCCTGGGAGATAAACAGGTAGCACCCTGATATCGTGAGAGTCGCACAATAGTAGGAACTGCCACGTCTTTCGTCGAAGCGACGGAGACGCCGTTTCCCCCTGCTTCCGGATGTAAGTCATCGTCGTTTGGTTGTCCATCTCTAGACGAACCACTTGGCCACGAAGCAGACCCGGGAAGCGTTGGAACACCAACCTGACCGCTCTCAGTTCTAGCACATTGATATACAGTTTGATCTCCTGCTGGGACCATAGTCCCGAGGCAGTGTGATCATTCAGAACGCCTCCCCAGCCGGAGAGTGACGCGTCTGTTTGAACTGTGAGAGACGGAACGGGAATGTCGAGGGGGAGCCCCCGGGACAGATTCCCGACCTCGGTCCACCACTGGAGATGTGTAATGAGCCACTACGGAGTCTCGAGCACAGTCTTGAGATCTTCCGAGTTCGCCCAAAGTCGACGGAGTGCTTGTTGAATGGGACTCATTCTCAAGCACGCCCGCCAGACCAAATCCACTGTCGCCGCCATGTTGTCCAGTAACTGGAGCCATGTACGAGAAGTGTGACTTGCGCTTAAGGGACTTGATATCTTGTGACAGAGATACACGTCCTCTCACCGTGTTGAAATTAGCCACTAGGAAGACTAGATTCTGAGTGGGGCTCAGATCTGACTTCTTGAGAATGACCATCCACCCTAGAGTGATCAGAATATCTATCACTTGTTGTGTAGCTATCTGACTCAGGGATTGCAATAGAGCTCTAAATAACCAGTCGTCGAGGTACGGATGGCAGAACCGACCTTTTGACCTGGCCACTTGGGCGGGAATCAACATCAGCTTGGTGAACACCCTCGGGGCCGTGGAGATCCCGAATGGTAGAACCCTGAACTGATAACACCTCCCGTCGAAAGAAAACCTCAGGTATTTCTTGAACTCGGGGTGTATTGGTATGTGGAGAATGGCTAACGTCAATAGACTTAAAATACGCCTGTCTCGACAGTTGAGATCACTGTTTGGTGACGAGGAAACAAGTCGAGTAGAAGCCCTCGCTTTCCTGTCCCTCCGGACCCGGTTCGATCGCAGTTTTCATAAGAAGTGCGTCGACCTCGGCACGGAGGAATTCCGCCTTCTCTCGGGTAGCAGGTACCGGAGTGTGCTTTATCCCGGAGAAGGGGAGGGGTGGATGATGTTTCCACCGAGGCAAATGGCCATCCCTTAAAGTGCACGGGGTCCGGGGATTGTGATGTAACTGTCTCCCATTCCTTCAGGAATAGAGCCAGTCGGCCGCCTACGGGGACATCTGGCTGGAGGCAGTGGACCCCGGCTGTCGGCAGTTCGATAACTTGCGACTGTGGGTTCACCCGGGGCTCTTCGGGCGCTAATGGGAACCCATCGTTCCCAGCCCCGCGAAAAAGCTGTTGGCCTCGACCAGCTGCCTTGCCCCGGCCCGTGCCTCTCTTGCTCCTCCCGGCGCCCTTATACCTGAAGGAAGCGGCGGCTTCCAAGCAGGTGTGGACGTCTGACCCGTGCGTTAGCGTAGGAGGGGACAAGTGGAGAGGCCCGCTTACGCGGTTTTAACGCTTGGTACCTCCAACAAGGCCTTAGAGTCTTTTATGGAAGTATACAATTGAGCGGCCTCTCGGACCACCTGCTGAGCCCCAGGGAAGAGGGTGGCACCCTCTTATACGGCAAAGCAAGTAGGTCTTGGCGTGTGTAAGTCGAGTATTTAGATACCGATATCCACCGCCTGTGCATGCCCATAACAGCGCACATCAACTGCGAGGCACAGCTACGAATAGCGTCCCGCGCAAGATAACTGAACTTCCGTTAGTTGCGCAGCCAACTCCGAAGAGTCAGCCGGCCCCTCTCCCGCTAACTCCCTCTGTACAGCCGACAGATACGCGGAGTGTACGGACACACGGAGCTGTTGGCATGCATTATGATATTGCTCCTCGAAGCATATGTAAGCAGCCTTCAACTCCGCACCGCACGCGGGAAAGGGGGGGCAACTGCCGGCCCTGCTTGACCTTAGTCAAGTTGGGTGTCTCCGACTCTGGCATGGGCGCAGCCACCTGAGGCAGTACCTGGACAATCCTGTCCCGCACGTGCCTCTGCACCCGGCCCGAGGCCGAGTCCCGGTGCCGAGGTGCCGGAGGTTCAAGGGAACCCACCTGGCACTGGGCTAGGTATCCACAAGTGGAAGCCTTGGCCTCGGAAGAGGCGTCTGGCTCCGCTAGGGAAAATTGTGCGTCGGTAGTGCACGGGCCGGCGCCCGCCACCACTACGCTGGGGAGCGACCTCGAGCCGGAGCCGAAGCTCGGTCTCGGATCGTCCCCGAGACCAAGGGAACCCCCCTGGCTCCGGGCTACGAATCCACTAGTGAAAGCCTCGGCCTCGGAAGAGGCGTCTGGCTCTGCTAGGGAAAATTGTGCGTCGGTAGTGCACGGGCTGGCGTCCGCCACCCCTCCACTGGGGAGAGACCTCGAGCCGGAGCCGAAGCCCGGTCTCGGATCGTCCCCGAGACCAAGTGGTCTGCCTCGGGCGATGCCAGGCATAACACAAGGTCTCGAAGCCGCGTCCGGCCCAGACAACGGGGAAGGCTCAGCCCGTAGCTCCTGCCGGAGCCGAGACTTCACCTCCTCCATCATCGACGCTATCGGCGACTTAAGTAACGCAGAAAAGTCTGCCAAAGACAGTGCAGGAGAGGGTGCAGTGCTTACTACGGGGACCCTCGAGCCTTCTCCCCCGGCCCCCAGAGAGGGAGCGGGGGAGACAGTCTCGGCAGCTTTTTTACGCTTTTTAGATCGGAAAG